ATTCAACAATTCAATTTTCTCTCTCGCATTAAATTTTATCGAAAATATTCATTACATTAAACACCAAGCTTGCGCAGCAATTGCATATATTTTGAACAATCTTATCCCCGTTTTTTTCCCCGCATCACGAATTCTTTCGTTCTTCCTCGAGATAATTTCGGATCTTCGTTCCAAATTTTCGTCCAAGTTTCCTCCAACCCAAAAGTGATCAATCGAGACGAAAGATTCGAGGTTTGATAAATCAACTTTCAATTGCCCGAGCATTGAATGAGTAAATAAACGGGAGAAGTCGCCCATTAAAAAAATAAGCACCAAGCGTTAAAATGATCCGGGGAAATAGGAGACGGTATCGAAACTACTCATATGCGGCTAGACGACGTCAGATAGTATGTACTTATCGGGGATGGCCCCTGTTCCGGTGTACATTTTATTATGAAACTTTTTACGAGCATCGTATAAAAGTTCAAGACCATTTCGAGGGCTCGTATCGCTTTGGAGTCGGCAGAATCCTTTTTCTGCTTCCCGATTACTGGTCGCCGATCCCCGGAGCCCACGGCCCCCGAAACTTTAAAGATTCAACGACCGCTTCTGAATCTTACAATATTAACCGAGCGCAGCCCGAGCCTCGACCGGTGGATTCCCGATTTCCATTGGAAATTAAATACGGCCGGGCCACCGTTTGATATACACAGCGATGCCAACTCGATCGTAACACTTCCATCTGTTGGATTAAAAGATCGACCTCGTACCGCCTCCTAGCTACTTTCTCCGCCGAGCCGATACCAATCGTCAGAATTAATGCCTAGTTTTCTATGGATTAATATCGGCGAGGTTTCCACGTTATTGACGGTTGAATCTGCTGCTTGTACATTACCGAAGTATTTGAACGAGATTCAATATTCCGGAACTCAATTTTTTTTTTTTTTTTTTTTTTTACAGTATCTTGGACCCTGCTGCGCCTGCTCCTGGATCACATTGAATATTTTCGTGTATTTTAAACCCGAAGGATTGAACTTTTTCAGTGCTAACATAAATTTGGTTGAAACGGAAACGAGAGAAGAGAATCAAATTATAAACATTTATATAAATTTTTACGCAGGGCCTCGATCGTTGCGAATCAATTTTAATTAACGACTTTGTGGAAGATTGTGATGCGACAATTACGAGAAAACAAAAGTTGTCAATGTAATTGTAATTTTACCAACAGAAGTCAATTCGTTCTGTCTTGAATCTACTAAACCAAATATATATGAAAAAGAATGTACGTTGAAAACTTTCAGCTAATTAGAACGAAGAGGATGCAGGATCAACATACTTAAAAGAAAAAAGAAAAAAGACGAAAACGATAAAAATATTGTTATCTGTGGACTCCGGCGTTCTTTTGATACCGCGGCAGATTACGGTATATACCGCTCGCTGCGATATTTTCTTTATAACAAATATTTTCAAAGACTTCTCCTCCACTTGGTCGTTTTCTCCGGTCTTTTTTACAAAACAATAAAAGCCTCCACAACCGGCGGTGTATTAGGGATGGGAAAGCGGGGTGGTTTCATTTAGTTGAGTTCTGAAGAAAGAAAGGGATCTCATTTCAAAGTACAAGCTCTTTACGCCTTTGGCTTTTCCGTCTTTGCAGCCGTAGGGAATCTTGCCAAGGATATGCATAATACTCGGAGGACTTTTTAGAGGGGTTGAACGCTGTAGGGGCGTTCTTAAAATATATAAATAATTAAAGACTGATTAATATTTAACGGCCGACCGTCGTGCACGCGCTGAAAAACGACACGCGCAAAAATCCTCCGGCTGTTCATTGCAATGCGTGACAGTCGCATCTGCGTTCCGCAGTTAATAAAGATGAAAAATATTGTCGCAAAAATCGCCGCGAGTAGCCAATTACGCGGCGCGATGCAAATTAAATTTCGCCGTAAAAAAAAAAGAAAAAAAGGAATGCCTGGATAGCTAATCGGTAGCACAGGTTTTGTGGAATTCAAAGAACAAACAATATTTCTTAATACGTTCGATGGTATTTCGAAGATTACGAAAGCCATCAGCCATATATATAGATAATTGTAATAATTTATCCATTTTGTATTTAATTTCACTTCTCAGTGACAGAGATTAGTAATAAAATTAGAGTAACAAAAATTCCGAAATTAAATAATTTTAATCTAAATTCATTCCAACGATACCGGTTGAGAGTTGTAACTGTTTTCCTGGAAAAGAAGTGAGAGATTACTTTAAGTTCAACGAACGATAATAAATTAGAAATGAATTCTACGGGAGAAATTACAAATGACACCGATGTGATGAAAAAAGTAGATGCATTTTCCAACAATGTTCGTTTCCTGACGTGAGGACGGATTCTAATCACATATAAAATCGATCGTCCACGAAACGTGCTCTAATTATAAAAGCTGCAACTTCACGATGGGGAGATTCGAGAGCCAAATAACAGAATGTAGCATACCTAATCCCAATGGTCTGTGTTTAACGTTTGGCTGCGCAATTTGACGAAGAACGCGGCAAAGTGGTCGTGAAGGAAAACGATTTTGGGATCTAGCTACGCTCGCCCTATTATTCCAGCGATAATTTAAGGGCAAGAGGGTTGATATATAGGTAGCGAGTTTATGCAACGCCATTGTCTCGGGCGTACTGTTATTTATGGGAAGGTTTCATCTTCCAAAAACGGAAGGTGCGTGTTCCACGAGGCCCCGTGATGCGAATAACAATCGGGCCCGGGCAGTAATTAAGGATTAGCGAGGTGATTAGCGAGCAAGCAGGTATTTAAATCTCACTGAAACGATCTGCCGAGCGAGTGTACGCCGCCTCCCGCTGAGTTTTCACTCAAACAACTGATTCTACACGTTCAACGGCCGCGTATGTACGATTTCGAGACCCGTGTAACGATTACTCCAATTATCCTTCAACAACGTCCCAAACTACGGCAGAACGATCTCTTCGATTTCTTATCGAATTAGGTCATCTGAATTAGATGTTTGCACGCATTGATTTTTTTTTTTTTTTTTTT